CTCTCTCTCTCTCTCTCTCCCTCTCTCTCTCTTCCTCTCTCTCTCTCTCTTTGTGTGTGTGTCAGGGGTGGGTTTCAACCGGTTTGCGGCGGTCCCGGCGAACTGGTTGGTCGGTGAACCCGGAAGTAACTTCCAGGAACAGCAAAGGGCCCATCCGCGCTCCTTACCGGTCTTTGAAGGCTTCTGTGCTTCCACGCAGGCGCATGGCACATACAGCGCCTGCGCGATTCTCCGCGAGCAGCTGGATGGCACATACAGCGGCTGCACAATTCTCTATGAGCAGCTGGAGCATCGCGCAGGGCTAAGACGCATGTGTGAACTGCACGCGTGCACGAGGACACCGCCGGCCCCATTCGGGATAAGCAACCCACCACTGGTGTGTGTGTGTATATATATATGTCTGTGTGTGTGTGTGTGTGTATTCTTTCCCCCCTACACTTGTATTCATTTTTTAATCTATGTATCTGAAAATTTTAATAACAATTATTTAAAAAAGAAGTATCGTGCAGTTGATAAGAATGTCAAGAAAGGAGAAAGCCTGCTTTTCCAAATGTTGGTCCATGCAAAAGAAAATTTCAAAACAGGTCACCATTTCTATAGGAATTTTATAGGAGCAATTTTCTGAGCTTCTAAGCAAAGGAGGTCAATCTCCAATTGTAAAGGTGGCCGAAGATCACATTCTTCTTCTCTGAACTCTTTAGCAAATTATTGATCAATAGATACTTTTACATATTCCCCAGTATGCTTTAAAACTTTTATAATGACAAATGTAAACTAAAGTAACCACAGGGTTTTTTTTCCTTTCAGGATTGCATCAATTTCAGGCCTTTCAGTATCCACTTCTAGTGCAAGTGGGGATGCAACAAACATGCCTTCTCGTGCTTCACCACGTATCTGTCCCCTTTGGAGGCCACTCCACCATCGTCGGAAAGTGGATACTGAAAGTGATGGCTCCACAGAAGAGACAGATTCTTCAGACAACTGATTAAAGGAATATACAATGGTTACCAGGTCCTTATAACTGAAGTGTTGGATTTCGGGGAAAGGGAGACGGAGACCTATGGCAATTGTAGGATCATACTGCTCTCTTGTGGCAAACATGTCAAATTAATTGAAATACGAGAGCATTTGTTTCAATGTTAAGAAATTTAATTCTCTGTGTTGAGTTTGCATTGCTGTCCTTTGATCTCTGTTTTACACACTTCTCCCTACATATGAACCCCTTATTATATTGCTTGGTATTAACATATTTTATGAAAGTCCAGATCAGAAAGGAAAACACATGGCTCAGAGGAGTGGGTAATTTTTTCACTGTGGGTTGAGGATGAGACCTGTGAACTATGTATAGAAAATAAAGAACGTTGCACTAGGAGGTAGATTTCTTGCATCGTAAGTTACATTGCAAAAATAGCAACTGCATCATTTGCTATTCAGATGTCATTTGAAAGGACGTAAAAAGTAGTACTAAAAGAATTACGACAAAAGATTTTTCTTTCACTCCTGGGAAAGTGAAGTATGAATGTTATAAAGCTGAAACTGCAAGGCAATATTCCTTGCAATCAAAAAATAGTCATATTACAGAATACTTCCAGAGGTAACTAACACTAACATACACGACAACTTTAGCTTTACTTTTACACTAATTTGCTCGTCCTTCTTTTAATCTAATTTTTGTTCTTAGAGCTTAGTGTAGAAAATACACTTGGGGGGGTGGTGTAATTTCTGACAACACATTTTGTATTGTTATTTGGGGCCAAGGAAAATAAGAACCACAAGGAATTGAGAACACGGGAATCCAATCTGTTTATTGGAGAGGAAGAAGACTCCATAGCCTTCACCGTTAAACCTCATAAAGCAGTGCCATAAATTTGGCTGCATATCACTTATGAATATTATGATGAATTTCAAGTACAGAGATGACCCAAGCAAGGGAAACCTCTTCCAATCTCTGAGTGAATAAGCAGACTGAGTAAAAGTGGCCTGATATGAAGCTCTGCAAACTCTTTGCTCAGGAACTGAGCAAGCAATTTTAAATCTGCAACACTTGAAACTAGAGAAGCTATTTTCAGAATCCTGTGGATACAAAGGAGAAGCAAGCAAAGGGGGAAATTTCTGGTCAGTCCATGCAGGCATTTATTTTCATAGGAAGTGCACAAGGAGTAAGCAGATTAATTGCACTAATGAGTTACACTAATGTGAAAGTGGGTAACCTCAAAGGGCATTGGTAACCTCGGCTGCCTCTAGCAAGTATACCTCACTGAGACATCATTTCAGTGTGTTCTTGGCGATTCCTCTTCCTATTAAACAACTGGCTTGTCTTCTTAGGAGAGACACTGTATTTGGTGGCAGTTTCCAGATAAACCCACAGTGCAGCAGCAACAATCATGCAATTTGAATGCAAAATGGTTACAACAGTAAGCACCATTTCACAAAGAAATAATTCTCCCACTCTGCTGAAATGAGAATACTCTGGTGGAAAAATATCACTGATACATGGGATTTAGCATGCAGATGTAATGGGTGCTTTGGAGCAAAATACCTTTTATTATCTCAGACTCGAGATTAGCAATGTAGACTGGGATGGAGCATTTATCTATTCCAGTTCCTCTTTGATCAATAAAGCTATAGCAATTTATGAGAACAATCCCAGAAAGCATAGGGACAACAGTGGTGCCTAGGTAGGTGGAAGAAGCCTTCTTGAAACTGATTTTGTTTCAATATACTTTGCAAGAAACCTATGGTGTCCATATTCATTATCTGTTGTGATTCTGAAGGAAGGCAGTAGTAGCAATGGTTGTGCAACAAAAAAGGGACACAGTGAATGGAGTGAATAGTCAACACTCACTTCAGCTCCTATTTCTTTTAACATATGAAATAAATGACAGCACCCAATGGACAACCAACTGATTATAGGAAAGTTAGATAACCCTTCTTATCACTGAAGATCTCCTATCTCCTGCACAAATTTATCATCAGTCATATTTGCAAAATAAAAGAATCTTAACTAAGGCCAAGAGTGCTGACCTTTCACTGCATGCTGTACATTTGTGCTTCTAAGCCACTATTCTAAAATGGTTCCTCACACTGGTTCCTTAAGGCAGTAAGATTACCATGGACAGAGGAAGGAATTTCACTCTATTTTGGAGCATAGGTTCTAGAGTCCCCACCAATGCAACAAGTACTATAATTTGCTTCTGAATTCATGCAGAAGCATGAAAAATATTACACACTACTTTCCTGCTTCCACAATATTAAGTCCACCAATATCAGTCAGGGAGACAAAGAGAAATATAAAGAGCAGCACCACAATGACATCTGCACCCTATCTCAATTCATAGCAGCAGAGGGATGTTCTCTGGAAAGGCCCATACTTCAATCACTGAAGGCTGGGTTTTGACAAAATATTTGTTTTCTAATACAAAACAACTGTCCAGAAAACCTTCAGGCATAGGACAAGCATGTCCGTTTTCTGTATTCTCAAGCATCCCTCAGCTCTGCCCAGCTTAGAAATTATCCTGTAGAGTTCCCATGTGGTGTTTCCAAGTTCAAGTGGTGTTACACCAAAGGCCAACAGGTACAGTAGTCTTCTAGATCATCAATATGAACCATAGCGGTCCTAAGGGTAGAAGGAAAAAGAGAAAGGGGAGTGGGGAATCATATACCGTATTTTCACCCATATAACCCGCGGGTTATAT